AAAAGATTTATTTTATTTACTTATGCATACAAGAGCTGGGGTGTAGGCCAGAGGTAGGCAGCATGAGAGGATTCACCAGAGACAGAGTGGGAAGCTGAAGAGCAGGCTGAATGAAATACACTGCTGAAGGGAACAGTGGGCAAGACAAGAGAAGTCTGCTGTGCCGTGTGGATCACTCCCTGGCCAATAGCCTCACACAGCTGAGACTAAACCCCTTGATCCTTGCTCCAGGGAGGCCCCAAATTTTTTTGTTTTTCTAAAGCATATAAAGTCCTCCATGGCAGAGATCACTATGCGCTTTAAATATTACAGTGATCATCACAATAAAGTAAAATAAGCATTCTCTGAAATTCAAATTTAACTCTTCTATCTGGCAGCTCTGTCTCCACTTGTTAATGGCCACACCTGGCCCAAGGGGTCTCAAGGCCCATCCTGTCATTTTAGTTGCTAGATGTAATAGCTTCCATTTACGAAAGTCGCTATGAGGTGCAAGTTACAGTATTAGGAACTGTGCATAAAGTATTCATTTAATACTCACAAAACTCCTGTGGAACAGGCTGAATTCCCCTCAAAGGGACCTGTTAACAACCACCACGCCCCTCCACCCAGAGATTAACTGAATACCTAAAGGTGTCACACAATGAGCTAGGGTCAGCTGGTGCTCCTACCAGGACCCCCAATGCACTACCAGCAGGTAAGTATACAACAGGCAATTTAGAATTTCATTAAAAAAAAAAATTAAAAACATGAAAACATTTTCTGACAAAGTAGTTAAGGCAGTAAAGTAGTAATTGCTTCTTTCCTATTATCTCTTGAACAATGTGGTGACATCAGAAGTGATGTTTATGAAATTGGCTTTTTAAATTGCTAACGTTAATGCCTTTATCTTCTGCTTGCCTTCCCCATCCTAGTTTTTTCCACTCTCAAGTTTTAAAAAATAGATATTTTAAAGAGCACTGGCAGTAGACACAGCCTTAGCATTATCACCAGCTTGGACTCCAGTCATGCGAACAGCTATCTACTGAGCCGACCACTGGGTAGTATTTTTGCATAAGTTGCAGGGAGATAGTTAAGACTTTACTCAGATTTGAGAACTTCCTAAACTTAATCCTTTTAGGGCATAAGTATCTTGGTGTTGCAAAATAATTTTTATGTTTATTAAAGTTCTTGAAGGGTTTCATGTCTTGTAGATGTTCAGCGTTAAAAGTAATAGAATCAGGCCCTCCCTGGTGGCACAGCGGGTTGAAGCACCGCACTGAGAATCTAAAAGCCACTTCCTCATGAGTTCGATTCCCACCTGCCCCGGAGGTGACCACATGGTGTGGCAGACCTCTCCTGCCCCCCCCCCGCTGCTCCCCTCAGCAGTGTACTTCGTTGATCTGCCTGTTCTGCTCCCCACTCTGTCTCTGGTGAATCCTCTCACCCTTCACATCTCTGGCCTGTACCCCAGTTCTATATGAATAAATAAATAAATCTTAAAAAAAAAAGTAATAGAATCATTGCCTGTTTCTCTATCAAAATTCAATGTCAACTTTCCAAAGCTATTTTTATTTGGTCAAACTATTGTGCTTTCTGACTATGTAATACATAAATATAAAAACTGTTATATACTCTAAATACAATGAAGTCTAGTAAATTTAAACATTCTTATGTCCCATGTCATCAAATCTTCACTATATGATTCCAGAACTGTGTAAAATTAAAAAAAAAAAAAAGCTAAACAGGCAAATCTTTCTAGAAATCAATAGCTTGATGAGGGCCCTCCCTTGTGGTGCATGGGGTTAAAGCACAGCTCTATGAGGTGATCAGCAGCCAGGGAGATGACCTACACTATGAGGTGATCAGCAGCCAGGGAGATGACCTACATGGCACAGAAGACCTCTCCTGTCTCACCCACTGCTCCCCTCAGCAATGGATTTCAGTCAGTTTGCCTGTTCTGCTCCCCACTCTGTCTCTGGTGAATCCTCTAAACCCCTGCATCTCTGGCCTGCACCCCAGTTCTTCTATGCAGAAACAAATAATAAAAAAAGAATTTAAAGATGTTACAAAGGAAATTAAAAAACAAAATCAGCTTCCAAAAATAGTACAAGTATCTCTGAGATATCTTAGACTTCTAAGATATAAGAAGTCTACTAACATTGATTTCTAAGTCTCTTGAGAATTATCATAGGTACTAACTACACTATGGGGTGTTGCTGATGAAGATATAAAGACCTCAATGGCAGAGATCACCCTGTGCTTTAAATATTAACATCATCATCTGCTTTAAATATTAACATCATCACAACAATAAAGTAAAGTAAGCTGACCCCACCTGCAAGGTGGATTTTAAGTTACCCTGAGAAGGAAGGCTCACCTTCCACTCAAGAGGACACTCAATAAGCTAATTTAATCGGAAACAGACATACAGCAAGCGGCTGCCGCTGGCAGAAGCAGTGGATTGGGGTCTGCTCTTTCCTCTGCAAAACTTTCTGTAAAGTGAGAGCACTCTGCCACAAGCGTGTATTAATTTTGTGAATTTTAAAGCCTTCAGAGAAAAGTGAAAAAGTATGATGATGGTCAACTCATTGGTCTCAATGAGGGGGGCGGGGGGGGGGGGGGGGGGAAGGCCAGAAAGGGAAGAGGAAAGGGGAGGGAAGGGGAGGAGGCAGGTAGATAGATTATGGGCCTTGATTCTCCTTCCACGCAGAGAACTTGGCATCCGCAGACCAGTCTCACACTATCCTTTACATTACAAACCCGAACTGCATAGTGGAACCTAACTCTTCAGAGGTCTACTGTTCCAGGACTAACACTCAAACAGATATCCATGTCCACATCCTGGAAGGTCACTCGTGCGGAGGGTTCTAAATGGAGTTGAGTATGCGGAGTGAGCAAGGAGTAAAGGTGAGTTCGGAGGCCGTTCCCAAGCCTGCTCCTCTTCACCCCCCAAAAGGGCAGAGAATGGGCTGTCCTCAGCTCTCACTGTGGAAGCCTGCTGTACAACCTCAGGGATTTCCACAGGGCCACCTGCCTCCCTAACTTTGTAAGCAGCTGAAATGTTCAGGTGTTTCCTGCAGATCCACTGCCAAAGTGAGATGGAGACTGAGGCAGAGGAACTCAGGGGGTGGAGTCAGAAGGTGCTTTTGCTTTTCCATGACAGGGTATGCATTTGGTTAACACTTTGCTTGTTCCTGAAGGCTTGTTTTGTTTGCATTTCCCTTGATGACAAGCACTCTGTAGGTTCTGTCCTCCACCCCATTTAGTATACAGGAAAACCCACCTGTCTGCTTCATAATAATTTGGGGTGTCAATATGCAGATCTCTGAGTCTCAGCATTTCTGGTTCTGCCTGCTAGTGCAGGAAAAGTACTGACCAACTAGTACAGTCCTGGATTACTGTGAAAATGAGCTGCAGGCCTTAACACATGGCATTCCATCAAGCACGTTCCTTTATTCTGCAGTCAACAAAAAGCACCCTCCCACGCCCCCTGCCCAGTGCCTGGGGCAGCCAGGTTCCAGCTGTGGGCTTTGGAGGCCAGTTCTCAGCAGCAGCTCTGAGACTCTGGGACTCTCCCCAAGGTCAGTACTGCACAGGGGGGAGCCGTTGGGGTGCACACTCTGGGCTCTCTAGGGATCATCGATGAGAGGCTATCGTCAAGGGGTGACCAGGAAGTTGGATGTGCAGGCCACTGAGTCCCGCTCACATGCTCAGGAGGCCCCTGGAGGTGCAGGCGGGCATCCCAGGTAGGAAGAACAGTGTGATGTGGTCTTCCACGTGTACTCCTGGTCTCAACTGTTAAGTGGTAGGGGTGGCCCGAAGCACAGCCTCCACCTTGGAATAGTTAATATGTATCCCAAGTCGGAACAGTGTTTTCTGAATTTGCACAACATCCCAGAGTATCCTAGGAAGCACATGGTTAGCCTCAGGGCGCTGAAATCTGCTGACGCTTTAACTGGCACCCCAGTCCGGGGAGCAGCTGGAGTATCTGGCCGGAGCTAAAATCCCTCCAAACCGTATTCTGGTTGGAGTTAGCGCGGCATCAGTGTGGAGTTGAGGTGCTCACACTCGTTTCCTCTCTTTCACCGTTCCATCTTGCTTTCTGATGGCCGTGCAGTGGGAGTCCTTTCTCTGTGCTGCACCCCTTTTCCACCCTCCGGGACCCGAGGGCAAAAACTCAACGCGGTTTCTGGAATTCTCGCTGCCCAGCGATGCCAGGCCCATCGCGCACCGGGCATCTTTTGCATTTCCCGACACCTCCCTCCTGCAAACCACTTAGGAGCCTCTCTGGGGCCGTTTCTCGGATGCAACTCTCAGGCCAGCCTCCCCGCAAAGCTTTCTGCCCCGGCGCGGCGCCACCCGCCCTGGGCCGGCCGAGGGCGTGGTCGCCAGGCGCCGCCGACAGCGCCAGCCTGGGTTTCCAAAGGCTCCCTCTGGGACAGGTGCCTCAGCACCTGCTGGCTCTTTAGCATCTCTCCTCCCCACCCAAAGAAGATTGCTTGAAACATTCCTGGCTTGGGGGCAAAGACTGAAAATCTGGAAAGAGGGTCGAAAATGCCAGGGCGAACGGGCGTCTCGCCCTTATTCAGGGTGGTCACCGTGCGAGTCCCAGGAACCCCATCCCGCCCCCGGGCTCTCTGCCACTGGCAGGACCCTCCCTCCGCGCCCCGCGCCCGGGCAGGAGGGCACCGCGCGAAGTCGCCACGCTCGGCCAGTCCCGGGTGCGTCGGGCAGCGCCCCTAGGTAAATGCCCGGCCCCTCCTCTCCATCCTGGCAAGTGGAGCCCCGCAGTCGCCCAGCTGGCCCCAGACGCGGCCGAAGGCGCCCTGGCTGCTTCGGAGACGCCGCGCAATAAAGAAAAGGCGGCTACTTTGCATTCGGCAGCAGCTGGGACGCGCCTGCTGGGCGCGCCCCCGATTCCTGGCCCCGCGTCCCCGGCCAGAAGGGACCCCACGCCCCCGCCAGCAGGCAGGTGGCGCCCGGAGTGGGGTCCGCGCGGCCCCGGGCGCCTCGGCACGTACCTTGCCTCTGGCCAGCAGCTCCATGATGTAGCCAAATTCACTCATCTCCCCCGACTCCGACATGGTTGCGACACTTCACAAACTGGAGGGCCAGGGCGGGCGAATCGAATGCGCCGATGCCCCCCTCTCTGCGCCGGTCTGAGTTTTGCCAGGGGCCGCGCCAGGGGCTGCTAACGAGGAAAAGGGAGAAAGTGGATTGCAAAGCGAATAGCGGCGGTGGCTGGAGCGAAGGCCATCGGGGCTGCCGGGCAGCGGGGTCGGCGCACTTGGCTCGGGGAGGCGGGAGGTAGCGGAACAAACCAGGGCGGCGGCGGAGCGGAGCGTGCAATCTCGCCAGGCGGAGCCCGCGCCAGGCCCCGCCTCCCGGGGGTCGCGGCCCGCGCCTCCCGCCGGGGTCGCACAGCTGCCGAGACAAACGCCCGCACAAAAGCGGGGCTGCTCGCGGCGTGGCGCCCTCCCTGCCCGGCGCCCCCGGGCGGTTACAGCGGTCCTTTATCGGGGCGCGGGGAAGGTGGCCGGGAGGATGCTCCGCGCCTGGACCCGGGAAAATCCCCGTCGCACGGGCTGGAGGTGCGAGGGCAGAGAGAATGAATGCAGACGAGGCACGACAAAGGATCAGGCTGCCAGAGCGGGAGGGGGACTGAGTGGAGGCCCAGGAAACGGCAAAGCCGCCTCTCAACTCAGCCTTCCTGAAATCCAATAGGTAACAAAGACCCAGCCCGGCGCTTCTCCGAGAAGAACAATTACAAGGATTGTATTTTAAACACTCCGAGAGTGTAAGATCGATGGTATCGCCAGCTCCCCTCAGATCCTCAACTTTCCCTTCATTGAAAAAGAAACAGAAAAAAATTCTTGCCAGCAAGGCTCCTGGACAAACACTTCCCGTCTGTTAGGACTAGCCCACTTTGGCAATTACCCGTTTCACTGATTGAGTTGAACATTCAGTGCCTGCTCCTGGCATTTCCGACTTCTTTTTAAAATAGCGGCTCCCCTAGAAGGCTGCAGTTGGAATGGCCTCTGTCTTCTCCCTGCTCCATTCCTACCTGACAATCTGCTGCTCTTGAAAAGAAAACTTGGCCGCTCAGTGCAATCCTAGTCTGTTACTCCACTCTAGCCAGTCTCTTATCTTTCTTGAAAGGGACAAAGTGATAAGGCTTGAGTTTTTCTCAAAAAAGAAATCTGCCAGCAATCATTCGACTAGCCGCCAATGGAAGAGTGACGACCAGACTGAAACCACATTCCTTAGGCAGGCTGGCAGTTTGTGCATATGTGGGCTTGGGAGGTGGCTGGAGGTGGCTGGAAATGACCTATTTTGCAGGCACAGTTAAGTTAGTTTTGCAGGCTGGGTCACAGGAATTTTGCTTCTCTGATCATTTTGATCACCCAGAAGTCTAAAAGTATTGACCATTTCCTTTTCCCCCTGCACACCATTCTTTAAGGCACCACTCACATTGCTCCTTCCTCAGTCTGTTACTATCCTCTCTGAGCTGAAGCTGGCAGTTTCTTAGAGTGAGGTGCAAAAGTTAAATGGGCTGGGTGTTCAGTCGAGGCTCAGTAGGAGGTGAGAACCACTCATAATGTTTCTTGCTTGCGAGCTTCTTGTTCTCAAGTTCTTTATAACCTACTATGTTTATTGCTTCCATAGTGGAATTCAGATAAGGTTTGTAGCATCCGTGAATGGGTTCCTCTCTCATACCAGAAATAACCTGACTAGCTGTCTAAAGAGACTGCTAAAAAGTGGGCATTTTTCATTTAGGGGATGGATTCTGGCCTATGACACAAATTACAGTGTTAGAAGTGAGCATCTAGTCCGCTGCCTTGCAGGCGGGAAGGAGGGACAGACAGGACAGGACAAAGGGGCCTCACAGTCCGGCTATGGTGACTTCCCTTCAAATGTTTCACCAAAACCCTGACAAGGGAGCCCTGGGGAGGTGATTAATTTACACTGGGAAAATTGGCATGCTAAATGAAATCCAGGATTTGTTGGTAAGGAAGAGAAAGAAGCAGATGAGAGATATGAAGCTCTTAGTGTCTGCGACCCTTGGTGAGGGTCCTTTCAGTTTCCTGAGTGTCCCTTTTAGCCTCCATAAAATGACTGGTTTTGAGCGACTTGGTCTCTAGCCTCTTTCTGCTCTTGATGCTAATAAAATCTATGATTTTATGCATGGGCAGCACTTTTATTCTCTGAATAAGTTAGCTTTATGGAAGGTCTGTCTGCCTAATCTCTGCTACTAAGAAGTACTTCAGGCAAACTGTCCTTATCAGCGTTCTTGATGTTCTTGATTCCTACCCAAGACTATCTGAGGTGGGCACAAGGATGCTAAATCAGTGCTAAAGTGACAGGGAGAGCAACTGCCCACGTAGGTCCACACCAGGGTCCGGAAGTCAAAGGCTGGGCTGAGTCCTCACACCCAAGGCCCGGTGGTGGGGGCCACTCTGTACTGCCGTCAGCCCGAGAGGAGAACTCGGGAGCATGGTAGACTCAGAAAAGACAGGCATATGAAATGCAGGCCTTGTTAAAATGGGCCCTAGAATTCTGTGCATGGAATTCAAAGACACAAGGCACCAAAGAAAAGTTGCTTTATTCTCTTCTACGAACAAAATCAGATTAATCTCATTCCCCAAAGGAACCAAAATTACAAAAAAAAAGTTCATTCGCATCTTTCAAAATTAACAAGACAGATGCCGCTTCACAGAAACCACCCCCCCCCCCGCGAGGTGGGTATTTAATAAAGGGATTATGTGATGAGTGGGTTTGTCACACTGAGAAGACCAGTGATATTAAAGGGTCTCTTGCTTTGGAAAGGCTGCTAATTGCCAGCTTCCATCTAATGGGGGAAAACTGTGTGTAACTGCTCTACCACCACATTAATTCTTAAAATAAGTATAACCTGCAGATCCCCATTGGAATTAGTCTTCATCCTTATCACATTATTTTCTCTTTTTGATGATAAACAACATAATAGGTAACAGTTAAAACAAATAACTGTCAAAAATACACATTCCAAGCTTTTTTTTTTTGAAATTGTGGACATAATTATCATACTTGAAAAGGCTGAAAAGCTGAAATCGCTGATGAGTGTTTAGCAGTGTATTTGCTAAATAATAAACTCATGACATTCGAAGTCAGTGGTGACATGATGAACCAATTAAATAGTGATGAGAAGGACTGTGCATTAACATATGCCAAAGTAAATGAGACTGGGAGGACATATTTGAGCGACGTACTACAGATAAAGGATACACTTAAGAAGACATAAAGAGACTCCTATAGGTCAATAAGAAAGAACCAAACAGCCCAAGAGAAAAATGAGAAGCGGAGGTGAACAAACTAGTTGTAAAGGAGGAAAATCAAGCAATAAACATGAAAAGATGCACTCAAAGTAAAAAGGAAACAAAAGTTAAACAGATACCACCACTTATCAGATTATCAGAAAGTAATTGATCATTTTTAAGAGTATAAGGAAATGTATATCTTTCAAAATTTTGGGGTTTGAATATTGAAACTATTTTGGTGGGCAATTTGTCACAGTGATTAAAATGATAAACAGCCCAACGATTTTTCTTTCTCGGCGTCAATTAATAAAATTATATCTGTATGTACAATATAAAGACAAATGATTATATACATTGATAGCCTTTTCATTAATCTGTAAGTTCAAAACAGCATATATGTATCTATATATGTGCTAAAAATCTGCAAGCAATTTAATTTTCACCAATCAAGGAAGGCTTGAATAACTTACGCTACACCTTTACTTTGGACTCCGGTACTGGCGTACAAACACATACATACACACAGAGAGAGGAGAAACAGACGAGGTAAAAGAAATTCAGTAACAGCTAAAAACTTCCCATGTTGATGAAAAGCCATCTACAGATCCAAAAACCCAACAGCCCCCAAGAGAGAGGAACACTCCTTGTAGCTGGCCCTGAGGGTCGCTAATCTCATTCTCCATGACCTGATCACCTCCCAGGGGCTCACCCCCAAATACCATTGCGCTGGGGGGCAGGCCCTTCAGCACATGGGAGAGCTCTGGACGGTTTCTACACATGGTTGACCTCTCATTTCTAACGGATTGTTAAGTGATTCTCCTAGGCATTTTACAAATTATATTTAGGTAATCTCCCCCATTCTTTGTGGCAATATCTAGAGACGATTTGTCCTGTCTTATTTTATTTTTAGACAGTTTTATTCAATCACAAAATTCTTACAGCTGCTTTTATTTCTCACTTTAATGGAAGCCATCCTTACAGTTTACCTGTGTAGCTGAGACTTTTAGGGTTAACGATTTTGAGTTAATATGTTTTATTGGGTTAACAAGTTTCCTTCTGTTCCTAATATGCTTAACATTTCTTAGATATGTTGAATTTCATTAAAATGTCTTCCTAAAAATCTAGTCATATGAATATAATTTCTTTTTTTTTTGGTTTTAATACAGTAATAAAATGAATTACACTAACTTTTTCAATGTTGAATCTCTCCTGGCATAAATTCTACTTGGTTGTGAAGTTAATACCTTTAATTTGTGTAGATTAATAAATTCTTATAAATACATTATGGAATCGAATGCACCAACCTGCTTTTGAGCATTATTGCTGAACGTCCACCTTGGCCCAATCTGATTCCCTTCTGGTGGCCAATAGCACATTCAAAGTCATTCCCATGTATAGGTAGTAGTTTTTCTCTGCTTATATTATTCCATCAGCCTTGCAGACATCTTATAATAATTTCTGGCCTTTCACCAAAGGTATCCATTTGTTTTCTAAGATGGTTAGGAGCAAAAAGAAAACAGCTTGTCACTTCTAGGAGCTGATGGGAGGGCCGATGCCTGAGCACGAGCTCTGCCCTCTCCATTGCCCAGAATCTAAGCTCATGGCACTGTGAGGCTCCTGCTGGCTCCCGCTTACTTCTAGTTTTCTCTAACAGACCTAAATATCTTCAGAAGATTAGGAACACCTTCCTATCACTGCCTGTTCTTCCAATAATGTGGTTTTTAGTTCAGCTGCATAAAATACTTTGAGGAAGGAAGAACATTAGCCTATGTTGTTCTAGAATGTTACATCTTCCCTAGGTGATTTTCAATGTTCACTTTGGCCAAATTTTTACAATTTTTTTCTGTGAATGAGCCACATTGGTCAGCTACCAATATTTAATATTTTTTTCCTCTTCTATATTAAAATAGGAACTTTTTCTCCCTCCCAGATGGAGAGCTGGGAGAAAATAATGCTACCTCAGTAGCATTAAAAATAGATTTTTTTTTCAAGTCCCTTTTCCTTTGAGGTTAAAAGGACATTGTACCTTTCAATCATTTTTTTTTCCTCAGAAGTTTCCCATAATTTTTGCCCCAAAGTGGTTGGCAAACTGCCTTGGGCTTGTTTGTGTAAGGACAACAGATCGATCTTTGATTTGTAGTTTCCCAAATGGAGAAGTTGGAACTGTGGTCACATGTCCTAAATTGAGCCTCAGTCTTAGAGGTCGGAGAGGTCATTTCTCTTGCAAGTCTAGGAGGGAGCCCAGGAAACACAGTAGGCTCCCACAGGAGTAGGGAGCAGGGTTCCCTGAGACACCCTGTTGAGAACACAGGCTTCAGCGCCCGATCTGAAGTCCCTGAATTCCCACATAGCACATGAT